CAAAGATGTGCCCAGATAAACTAAGCGAATTGGATGCACGGTCGTTGGCCCAGATAATCTCGAGGCCAGTATCTTCAACATCATCACGAGCAGGAAAAGGACACACATCCCCTGGGTGCCGAAACAGGCCACGCGTAAACAACAAGCGGTCGTCTTCGTTGTTCTCGGGCGAGAGGCCGGGCGGGGGCAGGAGGGAAAACTTTGGCTTGAAACTGTCAAACACTGCCCCCCTCTTGTCATGGCACGCTGGGCAGAACCATAGCCGATGGAGCATGGCATCTGGCGCACCCGCACAAAGCTCGCAGACAGTGCTGACAGCGTACCCTGCTTCAGCGGCTCTGGTTCTAGTCCACGTGGCATTACAAGCAACAGCCTTGGCACAACCTCGCTGGTACGGCGTGCCCTTCTTGGAGCGGAGCGTAGCAGCAACCACATCATGGCAAACTCGAGCTCCTGGAATGCGCGGGAGCAGAGCAGCGCCGCTGGACCTCTCATGAGTCCTCTGAACAGCAGCCTTCAAAAGCTTCTTAAGAAGAGCTGGGGACGTGACCGCCAGCCAAACTTCAGTTCCAAAATCGTCCAACAGGGTGCAGTAGTTAGGCATGCTCCAAGAGATCCTCTTCAAGGCCAGCTTCATGGCCCCCAGCGGCCCACGGATCCCGCGCCAGGTTTTGGGCCCAGGGGAACCAAACGCCCCTCTCCAAGCGTCCCTCAGCTCAGCCCACGGGATAACAAAAGGAAAGAGCTGGGTTTGGTTGGCCCAAATCTCCTTGGGGTACCTCACGATGGGCGCCACCGCAGGGTACCAGGTCGGGTCCTGGGACAAAATCAGGACAGAGGTCCGTGACCACATCTTGGCAGACGGCTGCATAGTACTGGCGGCAGCGACCTGCAACCTGTGCCATTCAAAATCCGAGAGCCCATGAACCTCAGACCCGAACGCGAGGCTGGGGAGGGGGGCCAGCAGTAAAGACTTTGGCAGCGCGCCGCCCGAAGAGCCGCTTAGCTCGCCTGAGCCTTCTGACTTGTTCCCCCCCATTCTAAGTGGGGTTCTGATTGTCTCAACACCCGCGTCGCACCCGCGTTCACTCACCTCCCCTTCTCTACACCCGCGTCACACCTGCGTTCCCACCTCACCTCCTCCTTCTCGCTCGTACACACACCACCCCACACCACGCCACATCGCACCACACCACACCACACCACGCCACATCGCACCACACCACACCACGCCACACCACACACCACCACACCACAGAGAGTGCGCAGAGGGTGGTCCCTCAGCGCAGCCTCTATCCGCGACGCGCTCGCAGATCGTGGTAGGAGCGTCACTTTCTCGACGCCACAGGGGGTGCGCAGGGGGTGGTCCCTCAGCGGGGCCTCTATCCGTGACACGCTCGCAGGGCGTGGCAGGCGCGGCACTTTCTCGACACCACTGGGGGGGCGCAAAGGGTGGTCCCTCAGCGGGGCCTCTATCCGTGACACGCTCGCAGGGCGTGGCAGGCGCGGCACTTTCTCGACACCACAAAGGGTGCGCAGGGGGTGGTCTCTCAGTTCGGCCGCTATCCACGACACTGGCGCAAAGCCTAGCAGGCGCTGCACTTTCTCGACACCACAGGGGGTGCGCAGGGGGTGGTCTCTCAGTTCGGCCGCTACCCACGACACTGGCGCAAAGCCTAGCAGGCGTGGCACTTTCTCGACACCACAGGGGGTGCGCACGGGGGTGGTCTCTCAGCTCGGCCGCTATCCACGACACTGGCGCAAAGCCTAGCAGGCGTGGCACTTTCTCGACACCACAGGGGGTGCGCAGGGGGCGGTCTCTCAGTTCGGTCGCTTCCACGACACTGGCGCAAAGCCTAGCAGGCGTGGCACTTTCTCGACACCACAGGGGGTGCGCAGGGGGTGGTCTCTCAACTCGGCCGCTACCCACGACACTGCCGCAAAGGCTAGCAGGCGTGGCACTTTCTTGGCACCACAGGGGGTGCGGAGGGGGTGGTCTCTCAGCTCGGCCGCTATCCACGACACTGGCGCAAAGCCTAGCAAGCGTGGCACTTTCTCGACACCACAGGGGGTGCGCAGGGGGTGGTCTCTCAGCTCGGTCGCTATCCACGACA